TGTGTACACGGACGCTGCGGCGCGACGATGTAGTCCGACCCCGAGTGTGCGCACGTACGGGCGGATACGGCGGTGGCACCACTTTCACATACATCAACTCCCGCCGTTGCGGCGTCGCCTCGAGTACGCGCCACCGCCTTCCAGGTCACCCCCGGCACTCGATCACGGAAGAGCGCAAATTCGGGCATTGCGCCCTCCCGGACACCGCGGATGTCGGCTGCGTGCCCTGGAGATGCAGCCGGCATAGGCAAGGACATAGACACACGGCGAGGACGGCTCCTGCGCAGTGCCTCTATCTCGTAAGTCCGAAATTACCTCGCCGTGTGCGGCCGATTCGTATTCGCTGACGAGCACGATCATAAACACGTCGAGATGAGCCGTGCGTGGATAACGGCGGCGTTGATGTGGGGCTACTACGACGTCGCGTGCGGGGAAGATGCGGTGCGCTTCCTCGCGTACGAATGGTAACTGAACTCAATCAAAGGCACCCAGAAGCAGGTATGTCCAACGGCGACGATTCTGCGGACTGACCAGCGTGCAGTGCCATCCACTCGGTGCTGCTTGCACACGGCGGGGTTGCTCCTCGCCCGTCTCTGCAAGAAGGGACAGTATCCAGTATGCGTGTTACAATTCACGGGATGTTAATGATGTTGACCGGCTGCTGTGCATCCCTGCGCCGTCCTTGCAGAGTCTCTTTACACGACACCTGCGCCTTTGCCTACCGATTGCCGTTGTGTATATTGGCTCTGCGGTTCCTTGATTGCGTCCCCGGGCCGACTCCGACCTCGGCTGGTGCTTCCAGTTGCTCGAACATCTCACGAGTATCGGCAGTATGACATCTACAGATTGAGCTCTAGCATCCTGTGATCTGCCCGTCTCCATTCACGTCGCTACCAGCTGCCTTCCCGCCCTGTGCTACCCGCCTCTGCGGCCAGCCAGCGCCCATTTTGTGTCAATTATGTATTGCCACTTGCATGTGAATGAGGCGGCAGTGGGCACGTCAATTTGAAGACATGCTCGCTCTGCAAGTCTGCGTACACATGTATGTGCCCCGCGCCTGAGCTTGTGTGAATGAGCTCCGCCAGGAGATATCAAACCCCGGTGTGGCGATCTACTTGTGCAAATCATTGTGATGCGGACGGGCGGGTGCACTGTGAGCTATACATGGATGCAATCATGTTTTACCTAAGCTCCCCCTGCAAGCGAGGGCTTCCAAGACATTATTAGGGACCCGGAGCCCTCGCTTCCAACTCGAGCACGCACACAGGAACATTTCAAGCGGACTGGGGTTTCTATTTCAGGATGTACCATGCCGATGCCATGAATTTCAGCTCACATGGCAACGCCGCAAAGCACTGCCGCTGTGCGTGCGCCATCCCAGCAAATACACCAACCTCACGGGAGTTCTCGTTGGAGGATATTCAGAAATGCATGCGTGTTCGTGTCGCACTTACGAGTGATCGGGGCTGTCCGGGCACCGTGCGCGCCGGGTCTTCCAAGCTCGCGCCAATTTCCGCGCCGCCTAGGTCTCCACAACGCGGCGCACTCATGATGTAACCGACGTGTACGACGGCCAGTGCGCAGCTCTTGGCGGTCGAGTCGAGTCCGTGGGGCGTTCCAGAGCGTCCACATGATGGCCGCGGTGCGTGCGCGAGACAACCACGCGCGTGAACGCATCCGCACTCGGTACACCGCCAACACCTGTACGTGCGTGGACGCGGGTGGAAAGCTGGTCGTCCTAGCTCGTGCACACTGTCTGCGTCGTTTTGTAGTGTACATTGTCGATGTCGAGTGGATCGGGGGCCAGGGGGCAGGCAGGACGGGATGACCCGTACCCGCTCACACGGAGATCCGTCGGTGTGCCGCCGCGAACGTCCCGTGCGCCCTCCAAAATGGGCGAGCGGACGTCCGCGAGCGCGGCCGCGCACGCTCTGCGCGTTTCGACGCGATCTGCGAAGAAAACGAAAAATGCCACTTTCGACCGATTTCGACGGCGCGCCCAGCGAATCACGCGTACCTCCCGCATTCCGCCTCCGCAGGACGCGTCCTCCGAACTGCGTGCTCCCCAGAGCATTGCGCACCAGACCCTGCGTTCGCGGGCGCGTTCGACGACTTTCGCATGTCGCCATTGTGCAGCGGGCCGGCCTCGAGCCCAAGACGGACCCCTCGTCCGTCGTCTCCAGCGGCCCCAGAGACAGCGGAGCGTGCGCGGAAAACGGCGCCGTCGCGAGCACGAGGGCGCAGCACCCGTTCCGTGCACACAGCGCCACCTGCGGACCGACATTTGGGTTATTTTGGCCGAGTTCGAGGATGGGTGTGAGAGAATCGCGCGTACCTCGCTCAGTCCGCCGCCGCAGAGCGTGGCATTTGGACGGCGGGTGCTCCTGCACGGTTCGTACACGCCCCTGCGTTTCAGCGCGATTTCTACGAGTTTGAGTTTTCGTTGAATGGCGGCGAGATGGCCGAGTCCGGCGCAATGCACCGCATGCGAGTACCCACCGCCAGCCTTCCCCATTCTCAGCAATCGCGCGACGCGCTCAAACAGCTGCGTAGACGTATGCATGAGAGTTCAGCACAGTCTCTCCGCACACAGGGCTGCCTGGAAACGAAATCCAGGTCATTTTCGACTGGATCTCGAGGGCAAAGCCAGGAAATCGGGCGTACCTCCATCCGCTCGCTTCCGCAGGACGCGTCCTTCCGACGCCGAGTTCTCAGGAACGTTTCGCACCATCCCTGCAATTTGCGCGCAGATTTGACGACATTTAGTTTTCGGCCTTCAGCGCCGTGTCGATCTCGACCGTCTCGCACCCGAAAACGAACCTCGCCCGCTGCCCTCCACAAGTGCCGGGCCAACGCAGAGTGGTCGGACGATGTCGCCGTTGCACGTACGGAGTCGCACGACATGTTCTGCGCGTGGAGTCGCGTATTTTCCTGGCTTGGTGGAATAGCGGCCCCACAGCGGAGAGATGCGAGCAAGCGAGCATCGATCGAATGGCTATCCACGCGTGCGAGCGCGGCGGCCCCCGTGGGTATGCGACGCCTCCGTCCGAAACGCAGCTGCAGCAAATGGGCGTCAGCGTCGTCCCGCGATGCGGCGGTACGGTCGGGACTGCTCACGGGTGAGCACGGATGCGGATGATCCCGACGCGCCGTGAGGCGGGCGTGCAGCTCGCGTCGATGTGCGCGCACGCGACCTGCGAAGCGTCCGAGTCAATTCGAGCCTGGATCTACGCTGGCGCTAGGATACTTACTGGTCGCCAACTTGTCCCTGCCACACACTTGTATTTATTCTGCACGGCTCGGGTCAGCATCTCCCTCTTCGCCCACCTCCCCCTGCACTCACCTTCGCCGCAACATGTCCTCAATGCCGAACTTCATCATCTTCTACACTCTGCCACGGATGCACGGAGGTGGCTCGAGGTGGACGCGCGAATGTCTCGAGGACGACTTGCGAGGCTATTTTAACGGCGGCGTATGTGAGTACCGCCATCTACCGTTGGAACCGGGGCCAGTATACTCACCTCGTCGTCCAGGCAGCGCATCCGACGGCCGGCAGAAGCGCATGCGGTATGCACCGCGGTCCTATGCATCCGATATCGTCAACAAGTG